GGGCAGTGCGGGAGGGAAAGAAGGCAGGTGTCAGGCCATCTGGGTACGAATGATGAGCCATGGTCAGGAGGCTGTAGGGTCACAGCTTGAATAGAGATGGCTCTGCACCGAGTCATCACCATCCTCTTGCACAGCTCGAGGCCCAAACCTTATTAGCCCGACTGGCACATTCTATAAATAGTTACCAATCAAAATCCTTGGAAGTAAACTGCTTACCACAGCTTCAAGGCCTAACCCCAGCCAGTCCCTCCTGACTTAGTTTCTACCATCTTCCTCACTGACTATATAGTCCAGCCATACTGACCTCCTCTAGTAGATCCCCACCCCAGGGCCTTTGCACTTCCTGTTGCCTCTCCCTGAAAGGTCTTACCTGGCTTCCCCTTGCCACTCAAGTCTCAGTCACCTCCTCAGGGAGCCCTCCTTGACCACAGGACCCATAGTAGGCCCCTCCCAGTCACTCTTAGCCAACCACCTGCTGTATTTACTTCATAGCATTTATCTTTTTCTGTCTTTGTGGTTGAATGGCAGCTGATTTCCTCTCTGCACACACAGCTCCTAGCATGGTCCCTGGTACATAGTAGGCTCTCCATCAAATGGTAACATAAGGGAATGAGTGAAAGAACAAATACCAGCAAACCAACCAGAATGGAAATAGACCTGCCAGCAGAGGGTTTTTTAAGGGGGGGGGGGAGAAAAGACACTGCAGGAAATTGCAGTTCATTAAAAAAAACAGTTCTTTGTAGGGTCGCCTCCTCCTTCCTGCTTCCCACAACTTAAATTTGTCCTTTGATTCTAGGCTAAGGTTCCAAGGAAACAGCCACAGTCCAACACCAACCCCCACCCCCATGCCTGCCGCCTGCTCCTGGCCTTCCCAGCATTGTGTTGAGCACACAATGTTTGCATGAACTGAGCTAAATCAGAGAATGATCTCTCTACTTCCATAAGTTTTCAAAGGGATGGAGTTTTAAGCCCCCAAACTTCTCTTAAGATGTCAAAATGTTGGGGCACCTGGTTGGATCAGTGGGTTAAAGCCTCTGCCTTCGGCTCAGGTCATGATCCCGGGGTCCTGGGATCGAGCCCTGTATCGGGCTCTCTACTCAGTGGGGAGCCTTCTTCCTCCTCCCACTCTGCCTGCTTCTCTGCCTGCTTGTGATCTCTGTCTGTCAAATAAATAAAATCTTTAAAAAAAATGTCAAAATGTTGGGGTGCCTGGGTGGCTCAGTCATTGGGTGTCTGCTTTGGCTCGGGTCATGATCCCAGGGTCCTGGGATCAAGCCCCACATCGGGCTCCCTGCTCAGTGGGAAGCCTGCTTCTCCCTTTCCCACTTCCCTTGCTTGTGTTCCCTCTCTCACTGTGTCTCTCTGTCAAATAAATAAATAAATAATCTTAATTAAAAAAAAAAAAAAGATGTCAAAATGTCTAACACATCCTTCACAGAACACGCCGACCACAATTTCAGCCTGATGCTTTGGGGGATCAGGATCACAAATGGTGTCACCGTCCCACGGCACAGGGATGCCCTCGGTGTGGTGCGTGGGGCTCGGGGCCCCCTCGGTGGCTCCAGATATCACTGCGGTTTCATGTTTAGTTTCATTTTTCTGCCTCCGCTCTGCCTGTCACTTGTCACTTCTTGCTGCCCATCCCTGCACGGCCTCCACCAGCATTTCCAGCCCGCCGTGACCTGAGACGCCGAGACTGCTGGAACCGCATGTACAGCAAGAATAAACAGGACTTGGATGAAGACCCAAGAAGCCCTGCTTCAGATCAGACGCACGGACAAGTGGTCTTCTAATTTACTGCTCATGGAGGATCTTCCCACCCTTCTAGGCTCTGGCTGTGACCTAATGTCCTGCCCCCCCCACCCCAGGAGGGCTGAGGCTCCCTGATGTCTCCCTGCTGGACGGGGAGCGGAAGCAGGAGGCTGGACAAAGCCAGAGCCACCGAGTGGGGCAGAGCTTGAGTTAGGTGAATTCTCCTGGTTCTACGTAGGTTCCTCCTGGCTTCAAACTCCTGCACTTAGAAAAACAGCGTCCTCCAGGGGGGTCTTTTGGAAGCAGAGAGCCACAAGCCGTGCTGAGCACACATTTTGATGGTCACCAGCAAGGCTTTTGATGGGCAGAGTTTTCCCGAAGTGGAACAGAACGCAGAAGCCCTCCCCAGGGGCTCCCTGTGTTATCAGCTCAGATTCCAAATACCTTGTTTCCACCCTGTTGTGCCTTTGGAAGATGGTGCCTCTTTCTCCCTCTCAAATAAGTGAATTTTTAGCAACAGGAGACACAAGTGCTTTCTTCACATTAAGCACTTTGAACTGCACTGTGGCACATGTATACTTACAAGAAAGAGAAGGATGGAAAATCTAGAAGTCAAACATTATCTATGGGTTTTTTTTCCAGGTATAGAATTATGAACTTTTTCATCTTTATATTTTGATTTTCCAAGCTTCTTTTGTTAAGCATGTATGACTTTTTATAGTTAAATAAGGGTAATTTAAAAAATATTTTTCTTTGGGGGCACCTGGGTGATTCAGCCAGTTAAGCATTTGCCTTCGGCTCAGGTCACGATCTTGGGGTCCTGGGATCGAGACCCGCATTGGGCTCTCTGCTCAGCAGCGATCTTCTTCTCCCTCCCCCTCTGCATCTGCCCCTGCTTATGCTCTCTCTGTCTGTCTCCCTCTCCCTCTCTCTCTCGAATGAATAAATAAAATCTTTTAAAAATATTTTTTTCTTTGTCATTTAAAAAAAGATTGGCCTCTGTCCCTTGTGTTTCCTCCTTTCCGTCCCAGCAAAAACTCCCAGCATCTGCAGCAAGTGGAGTGTGGCTGGTCACAGGGGTCCAGCTCCACCTTGAGACGTGCTTCAGGCCTAACTGCAGGACATCTGGGTCCTTGGGAGCCTGAGGTCCCAGTGAGTGGAGTGACGTCAACCTACTGCATTCCTCCCTACTATCTTGGCTTCTGTGGCCCTGGAAGATGGGGTGGCCGGTATTCTCCGGGCCTTTCCAGTCCCTCTGCTCCAGCTGCTTTGAAGAGCCATGAGGGGCCCCCACGTATCCAGGCTGTGGGCGTGGCAGAGTGTGTGGTCTTTGAAGGCAGGTGGACGAGAACACATCTGGCCTCCAGCACCTCCTGCTACCTGTGTAACTCTGTACTAACAAACCAGTAAGTCTCCTTGAACGTTGCTTTTTGCATCACCAAAATGGGAGTAATAATAATGCATGCAGAAGATTAATGAGATGGGACAAGCCAAGTAGCCATGAGACGCTGAAGGTACCCCTGAACAATAAACACTGCTCTTAGTGAAAATATCCAGGACACAGGGGGTTCAGTCCAGGTTCTCAACCCTGCCTGTACTTTCAAGTTCCCTGGGAAGCTTTAAAAGACTCTGAGGTCCATCAGGCACCTCGGTGGCTCAGTCGGTTGGGCATCTGACTCATTGGTTCGGCTCAGGTCATGACCTCATGGGTCATGAGATCGAGCCCTGCGTGGGGCTCCACACTTGGCAGGGAATCTGCTTCTCCTTCTCCCTCTGCCTTTCCCCCCAGCTCGATCTCTCTCTCTCTCTCTCTCTCTCTCTCAAATAAATGAATAAATCTTTAGAAGAAAAAAAAAAAGACTCAGCAGTCCAGGTGGGGGCAGAGATTCTCATGCAGCTATGGACACAAGAAGTGCCTTTTCACCATACATTCTACTTCCTTTCCAGCCACAAGTCCATGTCCATGGCATCCTTCCCATTGGCTCAAAACCACCGCCTCCAGGAAGCCCTCACCAAGTCACCCACACCCACTGGAATTCCTTCAACACCTAAACTTGGTTCAGGATTCAATTCACACGGAGTTTGCACTGCGTGCCCTATTGCCACCATGTCAACTTGAAAACATTCTCAAACCACTTTTCACCTTTGTATTTGCTACCAATATACTTGTTTCCTAACCTGACACTGAGCAAAGATGGATGTTGTGGATGCCGGCACAGGCTCTGGGCTCTCTACTCCAGACGATCCAAAAAAGGCCAACTGAGGCACTGTACCAGTTCCCAGAGTGTGGTGCCAGGACCTGAAGCAGCAACGTCACCTGGGAGCTTGTTAGGAAGGCAAAGTCTCAGGCCACCTGGGAACCATTGCACTGGCAGGTTAATTCTGGGGGTGAGGCCCAGCGTCTGTCTGATCAAGCCCTCCAGATGGGTCTGGGCTTGCTCACCTTGGAGGGCTGCTGAATGAAGCTAAAAGCTAATTTCCCCCTGGGAGTCAAGGAAGGCCTTTGCTCCCTCGCCCCAGAAGGCGCCAGCAGAAGTTCGATATTGGTCCGTGTTCCCTCGTCGACAAGTGTATAGGTAACATTTCGTAAGCACACTCTGAAGAGTCACATCTGCAAACTCATGTCTAAAATCTCTGGAGTGCAGTTTCGTCCCTTTTCCTATTACCACTGGCATAGCTCATAAAAAAGCTTGCCAGAAAACTAATGTACCCCTTAGAGGTCCATTTCTTAAACTCAATTTGTCCTGCTTTAAGTGGAATAGAGTGCCCAACATTAACCTTTTCCTTAAAACTCAGGAGCCTCACTGTGAACTCACTCACAGCCTAGGGCCCCCAGAAGTGGGTGGCTGTGCTTAGATATTGGCACAAAAACAGCCCCAGGGTGTCTACCACTGTGAGTCCTTGTGCTTACTTTCTAGATTTTTCTCTCTGTTTCTACCTTCAGCAACTACATGTTTCTTCCTCAGTGTGAGTCCCTCGAATAGCTCCAGCCTTCCTTCTAATCTGGGTTAAGAAGAAAGATAACCCTGCTGGTTCAAACTGTGTGTAGACCAAAAATAGGCAGGCCTGAGGGAGCCTCCTACGGGTCAAATCCCAAGCCTGGCATTCCAGTCCCCTCTCGTTCACCAACCACAGCCCTTCAGTGCGCCTCAACTTGCCCAGCCGGAGAGATAGCTTCTGGGGAACCTAACATTCTTCCAGCCTGGGAATAAGTGTCACATCCAGGGGCAGGGAGGCAGTCAGATTACCTGGTCCTGGAGTTTCTGGAACATCAATGGGTGCGGTTCTTCTAGTATCTTCTCATTGAGCCGGGATTGCCCCTCGACATTGACTTGTGACGAGGCCTTACTGGACAGAAAGGTCATGTAGATCTCTTTTGCCTTTTCCTGCATCTGGAGGAGACACGGGGAGCCTGTTATCTGGGAGCCCAGCCCTTCCCGCCTGAGCCCAGTTCTCTACACCACCAGACCCAGAAGCTGCGGGAAAAGCAGCCCCGTAGCCCTTTGGGGCTCTGGCTGCCATCCCGGGGCTAAGCGCTATGTGGGAGGGCTCGTGCTGGGCCCAGCCCCTGCCCCCATCCCTGCCACACATCTGAAGCCACTTGTCCTGTCAGGAAACTTCGACATTATCCATTCAGAAATGAAGACAGAAAGCATCCCGGCCCAGAGTGGATGGTAGTCTGCGCCATTCAGGACCATCCTAGGAGGTCCCCAAATGAAGGAGAAAGAAGCCCGGCCCTAAAGGCCCCACACTGCATGGCTCTATTCCCATGAAATATCCAGAAGAGGCGGATCCACAGAGACAGAAAGCTGAGGGGTAGCCCCGGGTTGGGGGAGGGGCGAGGAGGAGTGACTACAAACGGGTAAGGGGTTTCTCTGCAGGGCAGTAAAAGATTTCTGGAACTGGATTGTGTGAAGGTACCTTATGCCGCTGAACTGTGTACTTTAAAATGATTTAAAACGGTAAAGCTGAGAGCCCTAAAAAAATGGTTAAGGGGTAAGATTTGTGCTATGTGCAATTAAAAAAAGTCAAGTTTGGGGCGCCTGGGTGGCATGGTCAGTTAAGGGTCCAACTCCCGATTTCAGCTCAGGTCATGATCTCAGGCTCAGGAGGTGGAGACCCATATTGGGCTCTACCTTGGGTGTGGAGTCTTAAGATTCTCTCTCCCACTGCCCCTCCCCCCTCTAAAAAAGTAAAATTAAAATTAAACATAGAAATAAACATAAAAAAACATCAAGTTAAACCATGCACAGTATGCCAACCAGTCTTCGAGAACCTACTATGCCCTTTACAGCCATGACCCCATTTCCCTGATCCCCTGAGCATCCAGCAAAGGGCCATTTCCTGGTGACGCCACTTCCCTGATGAGGACACAGAGGAAAGGTGATGTGGCTTATTCCAGTCTTGACTACCCACCCCCACCTCGTCCCTGTTCCACACCCGTGAGATACATCATCCCCTCCAGGGGTCCAGTCGGTCCACATTCCAGGACAGGGAATGTTTTGGTGCCAGGATATGAGTCTAAGCAAAGGGGAGAAGGCTTGCTGCTGCCCTGAGTCCCGAGTGCAGTCCTGCTGGAAAGCATCAGTCCTAAGTGGAGACAGGCCCTTAAAATGCTTCTACGCACAGTTGGGAAAGATACGCCCACGTGCACTCAGGTTGCTGCAAAACCCTGGAGCAGAAACACTTCGCGTCCGAGCTCGGTCTCAAAAACAGCACGTCTGCTTGCAGCAGCTGTGGAAGGCCGCCTGGTCCTCCAGGGCACCCCCAGAGGGTTCTGTTTCCTCCTAGAGAAAGGAGGCACCTCACTGGCGACGAAGATGGGGGTCGGTTCTCTGAACATCACACACTTACCCAGTACCTCGCCCCACACCAAGTCGGGAGACAAATGCTTCTGACCTGCAGCCACGGAGCCATGACCGGTTGGGGGCGGGGGCAGGGAGGCTTCCTGAGGCTCAGAAAAGTGCCATTGTCTTCAGAGAGCCCACCTGGGACCCCTCACAGGCTGCCGAGCTCGGCTCAGGGAAGCCCAAGCTCTGGAAACTTTCAGACTACTAGAAACCACCGGAAGACTCCAAAGGAGCCTTGAAAGGAGGGGAGTTTAACTGATTTTGGTTTCAGGGACTAGTTGATAAAAGACGCCATGACAGTCCTACCCCCCAGAAAGAAAGTCTTGACAGTATGGGGTCAACGTCTCAGGCCACAGTGTCATTTCTGGATCAACTATTGCCAAGAACTGGCAATAATTGATGTCCAACTCAACAACACAGGAGCCTCTCGGGGCTTCTCCAAGGGGCAAGTCTTGAGGCCATCGCAGAGATCCAAGCGCTCTGGAGCTTCTTGCCTTTCCAAGGCCCATCACCACTCCATGAAGTCATGAGCCTCACTCCCACCACCCCTTCTGTCCGCGAGGAGCAGTTTTGGAAACCACTTCCTGTCTTAACAATACTTCATGAAAATACAATTTCAGCTAGTCTGATCAGCAAACTCCATGCAGAGCTCTGGAAATAGAAATCACTCTGGGGCTCCCTTCCCCCTTGAACATTCACACAGACACACACACACACAGACACACATGTTTTCCAGATGAATCCAGGCTATCTTGGGTGGTTCTGCAAAGGAGAAGTGTAATGAGTAGCTTGAGGCTTGGAGGTGGGGGGCAGGGCAGGAGGAAAGGAAGCAGGTTGGGGGCCTGAAGGTATGCTAGCCTCTGGGGTGCTAAGCCTCACTCACCCTGAGGTCCCCAGCCACCCCCCCTGAGTCTGTCTGGAAAGATTGTGGGGTCCTCGAGGCACACAGTCTGGGGCCAACCTGGTCCATGGCTTCCCCCACCCCTGGCTGAACACACAGAGGGGACTGGCTTCAGCCCCAGAGCTTATCTGGGCTGGAATAGGAAGCGTGACTGAAAAGGGAAACCCTTAGACTGGAAACCCTTAGACTGCAGACCACAAGCCAGTCACGGGAAGGCCTGATGCCCATGCCGAGAACTCTTAACAAAAAAGAAGAACCGGGTCTCTTGAGTTATTTTGGTGGAGTTTCCATAGCTTTGTTAACCCTATTCTAGCTCCCGCCGGGACGGGAACAGAAAGTGGTGGAGCGGCCCAGGGCTACAGTTCCAGGTATGAGCTGGAAGGATGGCTTCCCTTCCCCAGCCCTGCCAGCCTCCAGCAGGGCACCTGCTCCATGGAGAGCAGACTGGCCCAGCGTCCGACCCTGCCCAACCAGAAGGTGCTGGAAAAGGATCCCCGCCCCCGGGGCGCAGGTGATGACTCCTGGCATCAACCTGAGGCCCGTCTGTGGGAGCGTTTGCCCCCAGATGAGCTTCTCCCAGACGCTGCTTGAATCTGGGGCTTTCCTTCCTGCCTGGTGATGCGTCAGCCCTAACAAGACTCAGGCAGAAGTCAGTGCTCAAACGCTGCTCCCTCAGCAGATGCGTGTTGAGAAGCAAATCCGCTTGAGTATCGGCCCTAGACACAGCAATCAACTCAGGACAACAGAAGCATCAGCATTCCAGAGCTCAGAAGAGGGTTGTTTTGACTGCCCTCGCTCCTCTCCCCCATCCATTAAGGGCACTGAAGCTTTTTCCATGGGGAAAAGAAAACCTTCCACTCCATGTGCCCTTATCGCTAATGACCTCCCCACCCCCTGACTTCTTCCTGACACATCTCAAAGGAAAAGAGTGCACTTTCCATCTCCATCATCTCCGTGCCCCCCTCCTTGGCCTCCTCAGTCTGGCTTCCACACTCCCCCTGCCCACCCCCACCGCCGGCTCAGCCTCCCAGCAGCTCCCAGACGTGTGCTGGTGCCTCAGTCCCTCAGACCTTCTTCTGGTCTGCTCTCTGGCCCCTGCCTGCTCTCTCAGCATCCTCCAACACCTTCCTGTTTCTGTCTCCTCTGTAGGTTCCTCTCTCTCTGTTCCCCCATGATTTCTGGGGTCCCCAGTCCGCTGTCCTAGCGGGGATGCTTTCCTAACCACGGGCTCTCCCAAGATTTTAGCCCAACCCTCTCTCCCCAAGCTACTAACCATGGAGATTTCTAGAAATGTGGGCTTGGATGTCCCACAGACACCTCCAACTTAACACCAAAAAGCAAAGGGGCCCCTCCTGGCCAGTGCCGTCTCTACTCCGGGAAGCTGGAAGGCACCGGTTCTCAACACCGGTCTCACCCCAAAACTGCGCCTGTCACCGAGATCTGTGCACCAGGTTCACCCGGCCTCCCGCACACGCCTGCACAGCCGGTCCCCGTCCACTCCTGCCCCTCAGCCAGAGATGGACTGCAGGAGAGGACACAGGAGAAAGTTTAAGGATGGAGCCACTACCTTTACTCATATCAGCTTCAGAAAAAAGAAGGAGGCAAAGAAAATATCAAGTAGACGATGCAAGAATAGTTCTGAGAACTGGCTCAGGAAATGGAAAGCAGTTGGAGGGACGGCGGACGGTTCTGCCAAGAGCAGAGACAACAAAGGTGCACCTGCAGGGGTGGGGAGGGCGTGCCAATGGGAGCGTCTGCAAACAGCAGGAACTTGGGGGTGTCAGGTGCCCCAGACGGAAGGGACGAGGAGGGCCACAGAAAGAAGCCATGAGACCTCCCCAGAGCCCCGATGCCCCCCAACCCAGAGCAGTTATCCCCCTCCCTTCTCTATGGGAGACTAGAGTTTTCTCCACTAAAGAAACCGACTCAGGGAAGCCGCCAAACAGAGGCACGAGGAGGGCAAGGATGAGACAGCAAATGGTTAAGCGGAACCCTACCAAGGACCGGACCCCCAACAAAATCCTCCCAGCCCCGCACGCTGGATGTCCGTGTGGTTTGTATGCATATCAGGTTTGCGGCCATCGCAGAGAGACGATGGGGCCCCAGTCTAGAGAAAACAAAAGCAGAAAAAAATTCCACAGAAGGATGTGGAAATAAAGTTGAAATCTCCAAAGGAGAAGTAGGAACCAAAAGCCAAAGAGATGAGCAAAGTAAGAGGGAAACAAGGTAAAAGTGAAGGTCTCGCTCCATCCAGGAGAGCAGGGCCGTCCCTGGGAAAGTGGCCAGAGAAAACAGACGGAAAGGAGTGACCAAAAGTCATGACAATCCTAACACCCTAACATTGCCCAGAACTCTACATTTCCGGATTAGAAGGCTCCACAAAACGCCCACACAGGGGATGAACCCCAATCCCCAGAGCTTCTGCCTCTACAGCTGTAGAATATTTGTGATGAAAAGAAGAGCGTACGCTCTTCCAGAGGAAAAGAGCAAATGAAACAGAGTTTACATATAAAATACTAATTCTTAACACAAATGGAAGACAATGGGGCAGTGGGTTCAAAGGTCTAAGGCAGTGTCAACCTAGAATTCAATTCCGTTCCATCACAGTATCAGTAAAGTGGGAGAGTAGGGAAAAAATAACATTTTCACTCAACCAGATCTTTAAATGTCCACAGGCCATGTCCTCTTCCTCAGGAGGCTACTGCTGGCTGTGCTGCCCCAGCACGAGGGAGCGACTTGGGACGGGGGATGTCCTGGGTCCCCGAAGCAGGCGAGGGGCCGAGGGAAGGCCTGTGGGGGCCGAGGAAGGCCTGGGGACGCCCCGGTGGCAACTGCGGTCAGAGCGCCCCAGGCAGGTCCCCGGGGGAGCCCCAGCTGCACAGGCGAACCGAGAGGCCTGAGCCCACGCGACACCGTGTTGGGAGGCGTTTCAGAGGCCGCTGGAGGTTGGAAGAATAAGAAAAGCACAAGAGGGGCGCCTGGATGGCTCAGTGGGTTAAGCCTCTGCCTTCGGCTCAGGTCATGATCTCAGGGTCCTGGGATCAAGCCCCGCATCGGGCTCTCTGCTCAGCAGGGAGCCTGCTTCCCCCTCTCTCTCTCTGCCTGCCTCTCTGCCTACTTGTGATCTCTGTCTGTCAAATAAATAAATAAATAAAATCTTAAAAAAAAAAAAAAAGAAAGGAAGGAAGAGAGAAACCTGCACTGCCCCACCACTTCCCCACCCCCATTCCTGGCTTGGTTTTTATAAATCTGTACAAACTGCCATGTCCCTCTCCACACTGTCACAGAGTGAACAAGCCCAGTATGCCATGCAGCTGAATGAATGAATGAATGAATGAATGAATCAGGGATACCCAAAACCTTGTTGGAGCTTGTCCTGAGGTTTTATCACTCATAAACACCACTCGGTTTGAGAAGATAGATCCATCTCTCATTCTAATTCATGGGGAAGGCACTTTACAGGAAAATTTCAAGCCATAAAGAAACTGGGAATGGAGAGAAGTGCTTTGAAAGCTGCCTGCTGGGTATGAACCCCCTGAAAGGTACAACCACCGCAAGAGCCCCAAGGAGGGCGGGGGTGCGGGGTGTCGCCCTTCCCAACTTCCTGAAAGCCGGATCCCTGTCAAGACCTTCTCCCTCCCTTGGCAAAGCACGGGCCAGGGCAGGCAGCAGGGGCACAGCGTGGGTCCACTGTTTGGAGCTTCTGAGAAACATGTCTGTCCCTAGGGCCATCACCGTGGCAGGAGGGGAGGGGGCCAGGACCCACCCCAGTGGGTCCTCAGGTGTCTGCTGACCTGAGTGGGGAGAACAGGAAGTAAATGACATCAGGCTGCTCTAGGCACTTGGATACAGTGGGGAGAAGACCAAGATCTCAGACCCCCAGAGCCTGCATGGTAGAGGGAAGACAAGACAGTACAGAGAGGAAATAAAGAAACTCTACCCAGAAGAGGTCAGATAAATTGGTAAGGACTCTGGAGAGATGCAGCGCGATAATCCTAGTAAAAGAATGAAAAAACAAGCCAGCACAGGGCCTCTTTGAAATAACAAATGGACACCTGGGTGACTCAGTCGGTTAAGTGTCCGACTCTTGGTGGTGATCTCGGGGTCGCGGGATGGAGCCCTACGTCAGGCTCCATGCTCAGCATGGGGTCTGCTTGAGAGTCTCTCTCTCCTTCTCCCTCTGCCGCCCCCCCCCAACTCGTGCTCTCTCTCTAAAACAAATAAATCTTTTTTCAAAAAATAAAGTAATGGAGGCAGCATGAGGTTCACACCGATCCCTCCACTGCCTCCGTTCACTGTAGAGGCCCACCCTCGACAGACTCTCCACCGGACCAGACGAGGCGCGTCTTATTGTGAAACTCGGTTGGACTCACTTCTCCTGCCTCTGTCCTCCTCCACTTTTTAAAATTAGTGTTTCAGAGCTTACTCCTGGTTTTACTTCCCCTATAGCCAGACCCACCAGAGAACACACAGACTCTGCAGTCTGAGCCCCGGGTCTGTGCTCTGGCCCCGACAGCACCGAGCCAGGCAGCGTAGGCAAAGCTGTTACGTGTTCTCCCAAACCCCAGCCCACACCTCTGGAAGGACGGGGGCGGTCATGAGGCTGAGCGCGATAACCCAGACCGAGATCAGGGCCCCACAGGCCCCACGGAGGCTTGCTTCCTTCCCAGCACTGCTGTCTTCTCAGGCGGCTGGGGGGTGAGGCCCTCACTTCACATTCTAGGCTTCAAGACACGAACCTTCACAGGGTCATATGCTGGGTGTCAGGGGTGGGGGTACAGCGAGGGGTTCTCAGATTCTGGAAACACTGTCTGTGGGATGAGGATGGGCCAGTATAACCCAGCCCTGTAGCCTTGTAGTGTTCACCTGGACTCAGGTTCTCTGGGTCTGACCTCACCTCCCTCCCAGCCTCAAGCCCAGCAGAGCTGGCCTGTGCCTCAAGCGCCACTCTCCCACCACCTGGCCTTCCTTTGGCTCTTCTCTCCAGGTTGTCCTCTCCCCATGCTGTCCCCACACCCAAACTCCCCTTCAGGTGTCTGCTTCCCCACCGACCCCCGCCTGGGCTTCCAGAGAACCCCCACTTTGCATTTCTCTGCTCAGCACACTTGCAAAAGCTTGATTAAAAAGCTGCTTTCCTTCTCGATGCCTGTTCCTTAAAGAAGCTCATCTGTCTTGTCCCCGCGTGTCTCCCACACTCGTTACAAGGCCTGGCCCTGAGCAGGCCCTCCACAGGGATCTGGTGGACTCTGCTGAACCCAAGAACACATGAGCCTGGTGTGCAGGGAGAGCACCCAGGTGACCTCGGAATGCTGGTCCAAGTCCCAGCTCAGCTGTGGGGGCCTCAGCTTCCATGGTGGCGGAGTGGTGGAGGGAGAGACGCCGACCCGTAGGCCCCTCTCACCCTTGACACACAAAGAATATAGCAGAAGAACGGATATCAGTTTGCCTGCTCGGCTTTCACCTAGGGTTTTAGCCCGAGGCTGGACAAATCAAATTGCATAGTCCAGAATTTCCGGACAGTGGCCCCCAAGCCCTGCCCTGAGTGCTGGGGCCAAAGGAAAACAATGAGCACTTCTGTCCATAGGGCGGGATCCCAGCTTTCCAGGACTGGCGGACCCACCCACTCGCTTTACCCTAGAGGCCATTCACTGCCCAGGAGGCTCAAACAAAGTCATCCAGGGACGAGAAGCCTGAAGGAATCAAATACCAAGGGTCTTCCCTGGAAGCCTTTCTAGGCTGACCTAGGAAATTTGAGCTAAAAGAAATCTATCTTAGCATCCATCCTTGCCCCCACAGAGAGGAAGGCGGTAGAAGGAAGGTTCCCTGCTCCATCTTGGGGGAAGTGTGTCTGAGTCAGGAAAAGACTCTGAACAAATCAATGATGAACATTTTCCAAGCTGTTGTCTACAAACATGTAACGGCCGCTGGCTTCGCAGAGTCCAGGTTTAGAGATAGAGGCTCAAAAGCTGGCAGGCCATGAGCTACATCTGCCCATGGATATGTTTTGTTTGGCAGGCAAGGTTTTACGTTTTCTACAAATTAGTTCCAACATTTATAAAATCTAATGGTTTCCTAAGAATCCAAACATCCAGCTTCTCTGGATAACCAGGCAGCACTGGGCGGAAGATGCCTTAAGAAGAGTCCAGTCCCTTAGGGTTCTGGGGGGCAAGGGTGGGCAAGCGACTAAGTGGGCAGAACTCAAAGCACAGAAAGACCAGACAGCCACAGGCCGCAAAGTGTTGACTGCCAAAGTCAGCTACAGAATCAGCCACAGCTCCTGGAGGCGGGGCCGGCTATCCACAATGGCCCCAGTCCCCACCACTCCTTATAGCCTCACACCAAAAGCTTCACGGATTCGTGTTTACTCACTGGCCCTTATAGGCATGTAGCTGGTAGCCTCTTAGAAATACACATGCATAGACCTCATAAACACACCCAACCCACAGGCCTTCTTCCCCATAATCTCCTCTACCTCCCCTTTGCACCCAACCTTTAAGGACAGAAAATTTGCTGACATCAGAATTAAAGGCTACCTCCTGCAAAGAGCACACATTTACCCAGGAGAACAGTCAGAAACTTTCTATGCGGGACGCCTGCCAACTACAGGATGTTTTGTAAGATACGTTGAATAATTGACAATCTATCTGATTCGAGTTGCACTTTTATCGCCACACATCTGTTTATCGTTTTACTACATCCGTACAAAATGCCGACATGTCAAACTCTGGGGAAGCATCCTCATAACTTATTCATGAAGAAAAAAAATCATGTGCAATGATAAACTTGAAATGACAGAAATCGTTATTTTTACTTTAACTATTTGTCCATTGGAACAGCTCCATTTAAAAATTAACACACTTTGGGATGTCTGGGTGGCTCAGTCAGTTAAGTGTCAGCCTTCGGCTCAGGTTGTGATCTCAGGGTTCTGGGATCAAGTCCCGCATCAGGCTCCCTGCTCAGCAAGGAGTCTGCTTCTCCCTCTGCCCCTCCCCCCAGCCCGTATGCGCGCTCTCTCTCTCTCTCTCTCTCTCAAAAATAGATAAAATCTTTAAAAAATTTAAAATTAACACTTTGAAAAATTATTAATATTTGATCAATGCATAATTTGAAGCTTCAGTCTTCCCCAAATCCAATATGGTTCAGATTTCTTGAGGCAATTTCAAAGTCTGTTGGAAAGGCAGTTGTAACTTCATAATGAGAGAGAAAAAAATGATCAAGAACTTGAAGAACTCAAGAACTGATTACAGACTCGAAGACATACCTGCTTCTTATCCTGTGTTTTCTTAAAATCTTCGCAGGCTAGCCAAAATAAAACATTTTCTTCACTGAATTCCTTTTTTAAAAATTCCTATGGATAAAAAGAGGAAAAAATATCAAGCAGTGTTCTACTTTAAGGAAAGAAAATAACAAGTAATTTCCTTCAAGGGCCAGTTTGGCAAAATGGGACTAATGAATATGGTTCTGTCACCCTTCGAAAACTCCATCCTGAAAAACAAAGCGTATGTTTAACGTTAAAGCTAGAATTTCATATGCATTTGAATTTACTGACTCGGACATCGTCAGGAAGACTAAAAATGAAACAAGAATTTACTCAGAAGTCTAAGATGACAATAAATTACCAAAGAGTAAATTTAAGTGGGAGATATATTAGTTCCTTCCAGACAGTGTTTAAACAAAGTACATTCCTCTAAAATCAGCCCCATTTTTTTTTTAAACAAAAGAAAAGAAACAAATTAAGCATGTCTAAAAATGCCACAATGAAAACTATGTTAAGCTGGAGGTGTGTTTTCTTTGGGCAGGAGTGGGGGTGAGCAGCACGGCCTGCCATCCCACTGGGTGCAGAATGGGGTCCTCCCTGAGATCTAGACGGTGCCCCCAGGGGCCAGATGTCCAGGAATGTTAGGAGCCCAGCCCCCCACCCCCTCCCCCGGTGCTGCAACAGGGACCAACAGCATCAGGGCTAACGCTGACCTGAGCCAAAACTTAAAGGCAGAAGGCGGTGGGACTCGATCAGATATAGGGCCCTCTTGAAATTCACATGTGGTTCTTCTAACCGACCCCTGGGGTTTCTGCCAGCCAGTGGGTTCTTTCTAGGCAGCGCCGACACGCCCCATCCATCAGCCCTCCTCTCGGAGTTCAACTTCACTTCTCCAGCCGTTGTCCTCCTTTCTCACCGGGTCCATAATGAATCCCGAGAATCCCAGAGAACCAACCTTCACATCAGAGACCCAGACCACCCCCTCCCAGGGGTCACAGAGCTGGAAAGGCTTTGGGGATTCTGCCAATAAGCAAAGCACCTCTTTGCCCATCACCCCCTCTCCCTCCCATCCAACTACAGAAAAACCAGAAACAGCCTGTGCGTGCCCCTCCGCTCTGGCCCCAGGCTATCTGGGAGAGAGTCTCTCCCTTGGCCATAACAAGTGAGAAGTCCTTATTCTCAGGCTGGAACACACAGAGGGAAAAACCAGCCTGTGTTCCCCCCAACAGGTGTCTACCCTTCTTCACAGGCTGCACCGATCCCAGTAAACAATGAAAAAGGCAAACCCTAAATCTTTTCACGCCTTCTGGGTCTTCGAGCAGATTCTCCAGAGAGGCTGCCCATTTGGCTGTGCTCTTGGGGTTCTGTTGGCTGCTGCTGGGACTCCCATCGCTGCCGTGGATGTCTGCAAAGCAAAGTTCAGACTGTGTATTTGGCCCAAAGATACTTTCACGTAAAAATATATGCAAGTAATGGTCACCGTCATCACCATTGTGGCTAATACAGGTTACGTGCCAGAATCTATGGCAGGCACTTAACACGGGGAACCCATTCTAGTTCCCATGACAACCTTAGGAAGGAGGCACTGCCATTTCCTCCATCTTACATGTGAGGGAAACTGAGGCTCAGAGCGATGACAAGGGGGCCTTGTCCTTTCCCACCACTCTCCATCCATCCTTCCCCCACCCACGTGTCCTCTGGCCAGCCCTCAAGCCTCCCAAGGACTTCCTCCCAAGAACCCTGCCACAATGGTGGCTGCTTCCCCATTATGCTTTGGGCACAGTCTGGTAATTATCGCGCTGTCTTGTGATGATTTGCGTGACTGACGCACTAGTCCAAAAGCTTCTGTGTTATCTTTATGTTGTATCCGCAACACATGTAGCTCATTGCCCGGCACATAAATAAAAGTGTGCACTGGGGTTGGGCCAAGGGTGGGAAAAGGGAGACACTGGCTGCAGGTACATGATTTTAGGGGGTTGCTAAAAAACTCAGGCATCAAGATAAATGGTATTTTCATGCAAGATTTTGAAAAATCAAAATATGCAAAGAATTCCTTAATGTGGGGCACCTGGGTGGCTCGGTTGGTTAAGCATCTGCCTTTGGCTCATGTCATGATCCTGGGGTCCTGGGATCAAGCCCCATGTTGGGCTCCCTGCTCAGTGGGGAGCCTGCTTCTCCCTCTCCTTCTGCCTTTCCCCCTGGTTATGCTCTCTCACTCCATCAAATACATAAATAAAATCTTAAAAAAAGAAAAAGAATTCTTTAACAAACAAAATACCCAAATTGTGAATAAAAACAGGATTGGTATTACTGATTTTTTCCTTTGTCTCCAATACGGTTCAGCATCACACCATTACTACGTGTATAGATTGGATGGATGAATGACTCTCTACCTGCACACCTGCTGCCTTCTCTTCCTCAAGAGCAGAAAAGTCTCTTGACTATAGGAAAGGGGACAGGGGACTTCCAACTAACACACTTTGACTACTTGCCTGAGAGGAAGTGACAACACAAACATGCCTCATTTTACAGAATTTGGTCACTTCCTGGAGTCAAGGGGGAAAACAAAAACATGGAATGTAACTTCGGATGGGCCCAGGTTCCAAACCCAATTCGGCCAATTCAGACTGTGTGGTAAGGGGCAAAATTCTGTGTGCAAGATAATCTTCCTGTCTCGCTGGTTATCCAAAATACTAAAACGGGAAGCCCATCGGGCATCTAGAAGCTCACAGAGGACCCTCACAAATGTTAATTCCTCTCCCCTCTTCCCTAAAATAATGATGTATCAAGTGAACTCTTTTTATAGCTAATACTTCTCTCCATTGCCTTTTCTCATTCGAAGTGGATGCCTATTTCTTTTTTTTTTTTTTTCTAAGATTTTATTTATTTGACAGAGCTCACAAGTAGGCAGAGAGGCAGGCGGGGTGGGGGGGAAGCAGGTTCCCCACTGAGCAGAGAGCCTGATGTGGGGCTCGATCCCAGGACCCTGAGATCATGACCTGAGCCGAAGGCAGAGGCTTTAACCCACTGAGCCACCTAGGTGTCCTGTAGATGCCTATTTCTATAAAGAAAAGTTTGAATGTAGGAGAAAATACGCTTTTAATTTAAAAAATCAGCAAAGCAGACCATTTGAAAAGGACAAATGAGAAAAGTCCTATGAATATTAATTGTTGCAAACCACTAGGACGCCGTACAGTTTTAAACGTTTTTGGAAGAAAGTTGTATCCGGATACATTGGCCTTCACAGTAACTCAGCTGCCATGATCTTTCCTGTTCTATTGGGCCAATCCACGTGTTAATTTCTCCAGCGGCTGAGACTCTGTCCCCCAGCATCTGGGAGAACCACCTAGATTGTAGACATTCGCTGGCTGACTGGGGCTGAAAAGCAGAAGCCAGAAGCCCGCCAGGGAGTGGGGACTGTGTTTCAATGCTCACTGGTGATAGAGCACATAAGAGAATTTTCGAGACCGATCTATTCCTTTCACAGAGAAGCAAACTCACTCAAACACAGCACAAATGGACCTGATTCTTCTTTAAAGTGAATCTTCAGTCCGTGGATATTACATTAGTTCCCCTGCTCTCTTCGAAAATGCTAGAACGGCAAGCCTCCAAACACAATGAACACTGGGTTTCTTCCCGACAAAGTAAAAATCGAATCAAGAGATCACCATTATAAAAAAGTTCTGCAAGAGGGTTCATTCGGCCAAGCATTTCACCAACTTATTCCTGCTCGTGAGTACAGCCTCACAACTTGCTACCCTCCCTCAGGATATCGTCTCTGAAGTAAATACACGCAGAGACACAAGTGGGCTGCTCCCGGGAGCAGTCTTAGGCAGCCAGAAATTTCTCCTGCTGTCACACAACACCTATTCTGCCCGTAAGTTTCCAACCTTGGTCTGAAAGGGTTTTAAAGGTCCTGACATTCTTTTCAACAATAAACCAGATCACATCTTAGTGTTTGCTGCCACACTATCTTGCAAATAAATACACTCAGTGGATTCCCATTTAAAAATCCAAAAGAGTGCTCCTTGGTTAAATAGGAGATAAGCTTTCTGACCCCACCATTTGATAACTGCCACCTCCCCCAACCCTTAATTTATACTCAAATTACTTTGCATATTAAATTTCTGTGCCAACTTTCACTTGATCGAAAACTCTTATAACTCAATACGCACTAGTCTGGTCTAGTCCCTGTATTTTATAGACTGAGAAATAGAGGTTCAGAGGGTAAAATGACCTACCCAAGGTGACCCAACTGAAGAACAGCTCGGTGGAACCAGTATTGGGACTTCGGTGTGAAAGTGACCATCCCCCCAAACCAGGGCCACCCACGCAGAACCCCAGGTCTGCTCCAGAACACAGCACCTGGCAAATAAATGGCCCTTTCTCTTGGTTCTTGACTGGGCTATCCTCTCCCTGCCATCGAAAGTCATGAATTGCATTGGCCCCGACACGGTTACAGAAGGGCACAGAATTTCCAGGGCTGGCTCAGGAAGTCCACCGAGATGCAGCTACTCTCCACAACCACGGCCACTGGAGTCTGGCTCTGGTGCCCTGGATAAGACAAATTCCTTCTTGCCTTTTTGTCCACCTTCTGCCCCCCCACCCGTACTGTGGGAATCCACCCGCACTCTGTCTGATGTGTGTTTTTGCTTTTCCCAGGAGTATAGGTTAGAATTTTTCCAAGACTTCCCGACTGCCTTTCAGTAAGAGCTTTTGCCTACGCCTTTTTTCCTTAATCTTTCTTGATTGGTATCAGTATAGGTAGATAGCTCTAAATAGAACCACATTTGCAAACTCCACTCATTTAACGGTGCATCTCTTTTCCAAGTTATGCTCCTGACCACCAGTGAGACTGAGCAGAGCACCCCCCACCCCCCGCCATCTGGCACTGCCCTAGAGATCATCCCTCAACGCGGGCCATTTCTATTACCTCAGGAGACTTTCCCTACTTCCCAATGCATGTAAGTAAAGGCTCCTAAGACAAGTTCACCTGAAATGTTACAGTCAGTCCAGCAATTGTAAGAAAAAGGAATAACCTTTCTCTATAAAAAGGTTTACTTCTTGAACTTAATAAAGCAAAGCCAAGAGTTCCCAGCTTCCCAACTCCTGGCACCTGGAGCCATAAAGGTATAATACTATTCTTTGCTTTTTTGTTGACAAAAGTTGCCATTTTAGATGGATTACACAAGAAGTTAAACTTGGAAGGCACAGGTGGAAAAAAAGTCAAACATACTTTTCTAGCAGCTTTAAGATCACTCAAGCTAGTAAGGAGTTATCGCTGATGACTTTTGTTTCAATTTTGTCCAGCTCTGTTTATCTTGTCTTGTTGTTTAGTTTACCTATTAAAATATTTTTGCAATGAAAAAAAATTTTTTTAACCTCCTGCAGTCTTTAAAACATTTTAGATCAGATTTTTGTAGGCACAATACTTATTTTTCTTTTTTTAAAAAAAGATATTATTTATATATTTATTTGAAAAAGAGAGACTGAGATAGCAAGAGAGAGCCGAGCAGGGAGGAGAGGGAGAAACAGTCTCCCCACTGAGCAGGGAGCCCAATGCAGGGCTCGATCCCAGGACTCTGGGATCATGACCTGAGCTGAAGGCAGACGCTTAACCCACTGAGCCACCCAGGAGCCCTCACAATACTTGTTTTTCAATAGATTTATGCTCAGAGCAATCTATCATTAGCTAGTAACAAGAAGGGATACTGACACATTGTTTGTAGTATGCTGGGGACTGCTTCAAGCTTTTTCTGTGGGTTCGATCATTCACACCTCACAGTGAGCCTGTGGTGTGCTTAATATCCCCACTTCCGATGGGGAAGCACAGACGAGGCACAGAAACTTGTAAGCGTCGCCCAGCTAACAGAGGGGAGACCACGCTCCGAGCCCAGCTCCAGAGCCCATGCACTTTATCGTAAGGTTCTACTGCCATTTTTGTTTTTAATATAGCCGATCTCCACACTCACAAAGGCCAGAACATAACGGCCTTGAAGAGGAAGACAACTGCACCGTGGGAAAAGACTGAGAAAACCAAGAGGGAATTCAGCACAGACAAAAACCCACACCAGACCGGGCCAGAACCATCTAGCATGCAAACACAATGTACATACGCTTTCCATTTACATTTATGCTGTTCTGTGTGGTTTCTGACTTCAGCAAAAGCCATTATTTCACAGATACAGATGGCTGAGGCTGGTGGCTTGCAGCATATTTCGTAATGCATTATTTATAGATGCTATGATGTCATATCTACCAGAGACTTTCTCCAGACATTAATTCCTTGGAAATCCATACTCAAAAGACATCTGTAACACTCATCGGAGCTGAAGGCTTAGAGCGAGGATTCCTGCTATTAGTCTGCAGGAAGGTCTAGGTTAATGATCCTGCATAGACAATTTT